ACCCCCCTACGTGTCAAAGACTCATTCCCTTGAAATGAGCAATGTGAAGCATTCCAGCTGTGAAGCTAAACTTCCAGTTGATCTCCAACATCAGCAGAACCATGTTAATGACTCAAGCATGCTAAGAGAAACTGCATCTCGAGGATGAAAAACTGCAAAGGTATTAAATGGCTCCCAGTGGTGCCTGCAGCAGGGGCCAACACCCACAGCAGTGTTACTTCTTAAACTTTGACTTGACTGCTGTTACTTTCACTCATAAATCATCCTTCAATTAAAAAGTTTTAATTAATAACATATCCCCTGTGCCTATGCCCTGGGCCATTTCCACTAAAACTATTAAACCATGCTGTGTCATATGCCAACTATAAACATCAACAGCTTTTTTTTTTGGGCCTATGAGTAGTTTGTACTGTTGTAAGAGCACAGTTGCAGGTAAGCACCTGATCACCCCTCGAAACACTGGGCACACAGGGGAATCATCTCAGCAAGAACAAGCCATCCAAAGCCAGTAGGACAAAGAGGGTTGTGAAGCATGACAGCAAACCAGCACCAAGAAAACTCAGTCCCAGGCATTCAGCCAGACAGTCACCAAATTAACTACTCAACTTTCCTAGCTCTTCATCCTGGGCATCCTTCCCCACAAAGCTTCCCAGTCAGTATCCCTGCCTTTTGAAACAGGACGTCCACTGGCTCTGTCTCTTGGTTTCAGAACTGGGAGACCAGCACCTAAAAAAGCCACTTTCTACAGAAATCCACATGCATTTCCCCCATCCTTTTTCTTACTGCTTCAGGTTCAAACAGAACTCAATTCCCAAGAGTTTACCTCCCGCTCATCTTACTAGACCTCATCATTGTTACCCAACACCGTGATTTGTTTCTAACAAAGAGACTCAAGCTCTATGCACCATTTGAGAAATCCAGACACTGGCATGTCTTTAGAGAAGAGAATGACTCTGGGGGCCCCGAATCACACAGCAATTTCTTCTTCTTGCAGGCCCCATTCAAGCATCTGAGGGCCTCCTCTTGCAGTGACACAGCAAGCACTGCTTTCTGTCAACTTAGACAAGCACCTTCTGTGTTTCCCTTAACTGACAATTGATTGGAACTAATGAAACATTGAAGTGGCAGTTGCTCTTTGGTATTTTTAAAGAAAAATTTACACTCCAAGAGCTTGACCCTGCCCTGAGAGACAACTCAGAACCAGTAACAATCCTGGTTTGTACAAGACAAAGTGCATAAGTGTGTCCCAGATCTCACACAGCAAAGCTGTCAACCTACAAATAACTTTAGCTGCAAGTTAAAAATGGAATTAGCTCACTAGTTTGTATGATTTACATTTAATATTTCAGATCAATGGTTTTGCATAATCCCCTGGAAAGCAGTGGAATAAACACTTCCAAACAAAGCATATGGTGCCTCAGTCATCATGTCTCAAGCCAGGCTAGCACATTCCAGCCCTCACCCCATCTCCCCAAATCACTCCTTTACTTCACAGGACCCCTTCCTCCTCTTGCCCCATGGGCTGCAGTTTACCTAAATTTCATTCATACCCATATTAGCCTATTTTGTAGTAATACATGTCTGGCTCAGTTTGCTATTTAAGAGCCCTTTGCTTTCCCATCTCTTACTCATCCCCTGCCTGAGGCTCTCAGCACACCCTGTCCCGCTGCGTGGGCTGTGAGAAGCCTAAGCACAGTTTCTTTAACTACAGTAACAACTGAATACCATAATACAGCAGTCTAAAAGCCATCAAAATTGCAATAACATCAAACATTTTACTGTTCACCAGTGCACTGAGAACATAATTTTTCATCCAGCACCACACCTTCCCTCACTCATCACAGCAATCAGGTAGCCAAGCCTGCCCTCTAGTTTGCCCTGCTGCCCTTGCAGCGTGGCAAAATCACAGCCTAAACCTGGCATCAGCCTGAGAGAGAAAATAACATCTTTTGGGACGGTCGGTTTGTTGTTTTTTGTGTTAGGCTGTTTTCCTGGGGTTTCGTGTTTGGTTTCTTTAAATGTTGAGAGTTATTACTAGGCCCTCTCTTACAATGCAAAAAATAGGTAGGCAGTGTTTTATTTTGTTTCAAAGGTACTATCAAGACTGCTTCCAGTTCATGTACCTTAATCAACTATTCATTCTACAGACTTCCTACTCAGTGCTGGCAGGTAATAGTGATTTAAGTCAGGCATCCCTAAGCTCAAGCCAAAGCTGCTCACTTTCACTGACCTGAGTGTCTGCAGAGCTGTTGCTCCCACATGTTTTCATTCTTCTCTCTGGCTCCAATTGCACAGGATTTTTTCTGCTTTCCAGAGGCGCTACCACTGCTGCTGAAGGGCTCGGCCTTGGCCAGTGGTGGGTCCACCTTGGAACCAGCCAGCCTTGGCTCTGTTGAACCCAGCAGACACCTTCCAGCATCTTCTCACAGAAGTCATACCTGTATAGCCCTTGCCACTACCAAAACCTTGCCATGCAAACCCAATGCAGTACAGTATTATTTAAAAACACTAATACAATGACCATTAAACAATTTAAAAATTGCCACGACAACTAGCTTTGACATTAACAGGAACATCCAACACATGAAAGGAAACTCTCAACCTAAAGAGATCACAGTAAAACCCTTGAAAAAATCTTAGTATTGGTAAGGCATGACAGGAGCCCCAGTAGGATCTCTACTCAGTGTTACTTTCTACATTACATGGCTGCAGTTTCTGTTCTTTGAGCTCCCCAGACATGATGTTACTCCACCACTTAATGGACTGTTTTCACTGCACTGTTCACCTGAGTGGTTGTTTCCACTCCCAAGCACAGGCAACATCAAACCAGCACCTGGCTGTGACTGTGCAGAGACTCAGGCACTCCCTCTTATCTCAAGAATGTTGTGGATCAAAGCCTTATCTACAAAGATCTTCCAAAGGATGGATTAATGCTCAGCTTGTTACCCCCAACCACTGAGACATGAGTGCCTATACTTATCACAGAGGTCACACTTTTCAGATTTTTGTAGCACAGTTATAGTAAGGAAAAAATCTTCCCGTTATTTCTAGGAAATTAACTTATTGTCTAGGGATTCTGCTATGTGAAACATAAAATACATATAGAGCACAGAATCCAGCTAGTAAAGAACAGGTGTGCTCCCATTGAAATAAACACCTTAGAGTTCTAGAACATTCAGTTTTTCTGTTACTGTCTTCCACACCAAGTAAATCTCAACATCCTTTTACCATAGGTTTAACTCTTCATTTATTCTCCACTGTGAGCAGTGTTACATATTTCTTTTATGCTGTTCTATATATATTAAACATATTATTCAAAAACTATTCAGCACACGTGCTTGTTTACCAGATCTTGTATTGCAGGGTAATTCTTTATTGAAAGGAAGTATTTGTTCTACAATGCACAGTTCATACACTGGAGAATGGGAAGCCAACATGCCCACATACAAACTAACTTTGTGTTTCAAGTACTCAGACGATTCTTCAGTTTGCTGGCAGCAACCTGCCAACAGGGGTCTGGATGAGAAAAGTTAACGTGTCAGAAGCAAAGTGTAAAAACTGATTTGCATTAGTGTGCCATGGTGTCTATGCCTGTGCACACCTGGCACTGGGGTGGATAAGAGAGGACTGACACTTGGCAACACATTCCTCAAACCACTGGAGATAACCAATTTTTGTCTCATTTATGCCTAGGTTCTATCATGGACATATGCAGCACCAAAACCACGCCAAGCCCCATATTATGCAAAAGACTTCCAAAAAAGGCTAAACCAATACATTAATCTGGAAAACTCAAATTAACAGAAGAACCTCAAGCACAACAGCTTAACAGCCATTATCAGTGTTAGGAAAGTTTTATGCCTTGCTGGAACCTTAGGAGAATTTTTTATCCAGAGACTAAAAAGCTTGCTAACAGCACAGAAGTGGAATGAAATTCAGGTTATCCCACAACACAAAAAATCTCACTATGGTTTGACTAGAGAAAGTTATACACACAACCAAGGAAGAAAGAAAACAATCAACATATTGTATCATTTCACAGTGTACAAGTAAGTATTCATGAAGAGAAGGCAATTTTCTATGTGGTCACTCTTGTGTTCTCTGCTTCATAAAGGACACCATTTACAGATGGATACAGCTTGTTTCTCTTGGTCCTTCCCCTGCCATCCATTCCAGCAGCTTATAGCTGTTACTGACACTGCTTTACCACAGGAAATCCAACTGCATCCTTTAGCAAATATCAAGGAGATACATATCTGTGTAAAGACATACAAAAATATGCTATGCCCTTTCCTTTGCATCATCAAGATAAAGGGAAATTGAAGATTGAATTTTACACTGCAATAAAAAATATATTTGAAAACAAACAAAAAAGTTGTATTTCACATTAGAAAGACATCACCTGAGTTCCTAAACAATTCTGTTTCTTGAAATTACTTCTAAACTCAGAAATGTATTAATTACACCTGTCCCACTGAGCTGGTTTTGGCTGGGATGGAGGTAATTTTCTTCATAATAGCTACCATGGGGCTATGGTTTGGATTTGTGCTGAAAACAAACACACTTGAGTGTGCAGCTTTTGCTTTACCTATTAAACTGTCTTTATCTCAATCCATGAGTTTTCTCACTTTGCTTTCCTGATTCCTCCACTCATCCCACTGGGAGGGCAGAGTGAGTGAGCAGCTGCATGGTGCTCAGTTGCTGGCTGGGGTTAAACAACACTCCCCACAAATCAGGAAACTATCCACAGCAAAGTGAAATTCAATCTTTTCCACTATAGTTGGACAGTAAGTAATGTAGCTTTTTTAACTAGCAATTTAATTCCTTGAAAATGTAATGCTTGCTTCATGCCAATGTTATTTCAGAGGCAAAAATAGCTACAGGAGTTTTCAAAAATATATAATTATTCCATTCTAATTGCAGGTGAAGACCTCCTCAGCCTGATGTAACAGAGGCTGGCTAAAGAACAACTTCCATCAACATCACAGAAAACAAGGGTACACAGGCAAGATGAGCACAAGTCTTATTTCAACCACAGCTGAGGCACCAGCCTCCTTTTGTACACGTGTATTATACATTTTGAAGAACGCTTTTCCTTCAGCTCACAAAAAACCCTTGATTTACAGTCTGTAGACACCAGACGACATGATCTTCGTTCTAGTCCTGTTTGCCTTCCCGCCACTGCCGCGAGCCCTCGTTCCACGCTACATAAACAAAGAGAGCAAGCACCACGTGAACAGTAACTACAGCCACGATGGCAGCATAGAAATAGCTGTCTCTGTCGGACATTCCTAAGGAACCTGGGAAAACAAAGAGAGTAAAGAATATCAGTTATTAGGAACTCTGACACGGCAAGTCACAATTCTTCCTAAAGGCCAAAGTTACAAGTGCTCCTGTATCAAAAGACTGAGCTCAAAATGATTCGTAGGAAAGAATTCACTGTGATAGTCAAAGGCCCTGAAAATACTTTTGGAACAAAACAACACTGCAGTGTTCAATGTTTAAGATAAAATACCCTGGGATTTGATGTCAACAGCTTATCTACAACATTTTCTGCTACTATCTTCCAGCACCAAATAAACCTCAACATCCTTTTTTCCTAACGCTCTTTTGCGGGGCAGGAAAATGAGGGGGTGGGGGGAGGGAAGAAGGGGGAGAATTCTGTAATTTATTTGCCACTGTAACAGGAGAAAACAGTGGAACAATTACATTTAGAGGTCTGTTACCTTCTATATTTAGACCATAAAACAGTAACTCCCCACCAGCTAAATTACATGAACACATCTCATATGAAATAAGCCTTCAAATATCAGAAGAGCAAACAACAAAATATTGTTTCCCTTAATTAATTTAAGAAAAACCCAACAAAATCCCCCAAAGAGCAAACCAAAAACCACACATTACACCACTCCAAAAATACCACCCTTCAAAGACAAGCTCAATCCTTTCAGTGCTGACAGATCTTGTCATTAACAGTGAAGTTAAGGCTCAGTTTGCTACACTTCAGATAAAAAAAAAAAGCTAAAAGGGATCTTGAAAGTTACTTAACAAGCTTTGAGCCTTCTATGTACTACATACAGCAGTACACACCAAAGAGAACAGCCTTGGAACAACTCAGTTTCATACTCACAAACTGCTCCTAAAAGCAGCTGCCTTCTCCCTCCCTCCTCCCCACTTCTGAAGGAGATAACTTCCTAGTACTGCAGGAGAAAAGTATTAAAGCCTTGCAGAATCGAGACTACAACATGGCTAGCTGTTCAAACAAACAGTTAAAATCCCTCTTCCTTCTTTTTTTAAATTAAAGTTCTACAAGCAACCATATTCAATATCTGAAATTGCATATATGAATTAACTTGTTTACACTTACAAATACAGATGTTTTAAAAAGCAAAAGAGAAACCCCACAAACAACATTATTCTGCCCTGAACACATGATTAGTTTGCAATACCTGCAGAAAACATATCCCTGATGATTCTGACAAAAGTCTGCTGTAGGGTGGTGTTAGATACCCTTTAGGTAAGGGGGACAATGCACCTCTGTGCTATATAAGCCACTGCATAACAAACAGCAAACACTGGATTGCAGATCACAATGCAGGGAAGGATGCATTGACCATTTATATAATTTTCTGTTCTAATTAGACATTACGGAACCTTTGGTCTGCAGAAGGAAACAAAACAGGAACAATAAAGATGCTATTACAGGATTGTGCTTTTCCTCTTTTTTTGTAATAATACTACTAATTGGCAGAAGCAGAATTACCTTCAAATACATAAGCCTTTGATGAAAAATATAGCCCAACTGGTAATGTAATCATTAGAGCTGTGAAGAACAGAAGCGTTCTTAAAGTTGATGTTAATGAACCCTCATTTCTGAAATAAATAAGAGAAGTTACACACAGAAGAAAGTCACAATATACACACCTGAAACAGGACAAAAACTTGTCCCAAACCAAAGCAAATTACTTTTCAAGAACTGAGTAAATATATTGTTTAGAAGCAAAAGACTTGGGATATGCATTTGTTTGCTGCAATAAAAATGAGAGTATTCAAAATGATGTAATGATTCTGCCAGTCAGAGCTCAAAAACAAGATTAAAAACAATTGTTAAATTTTTTTCCCTGTTACTGCTTTGCAAGCATTAACAACTTAGGGGAGTTATGTTAATACATTTATCAGTATACTATCACATAATTATTAAATATCTAATATCAGTCACGTGCACTTGTCACATGACAGTTTTCTGCATTAAAACTTGCCAAGTTCGTTTCTTTTTCTTTTTTTTTCAGTAACTACAAGTCCGGGAAAATGACAAATTCTACAGGCTGGGATATAGAGGGAAGTACACAGAATGATTTTAACAGTTAACTACTGAAAGTTCCCTTTTTTTGGGGTATTGGTCCTCTACTTAAAAATAAGTTATCAGCTTCAATTAAGAAAGCTGGAATAACTGTAGCAATACTCAGAACATGAAGCCAATACACCAAAACTTCCTTTGACTTCACAGACTTAAACCCAGAGAATCACTATGAAGGATTATGTTCTTGGTAAGGTCTCCCTGAACTTGATCTGCTAGAACAGGTTTTATGTTTACAAAACACACAGAGCTTGTTTTTGTGTGCTTCCACCAGTTCTCACTCACTCTGCCTGGTTGACCACATCATTTTATGCTCAAGCAAACACATCAGCCAGGCAATATCCTTGTGACTTTCAAAGACTACCTGATTCAAGGGCATGTGTCCTTAAGGGCTTTGAAACACAAATATGCACAAAAGCCAACTCGAGTCAGGGATACATAATTCTTAAAACTCCCAGGCACCTTCAAAGCATTTTTTGCGTAAGCAGTTTCGAAAAGTTTTATCGAGACATATCTGTGCCATAGCATATTGCTTGAAATCAGTTTTAATCTTGACATTTCTTCGGAAAAAAAGTGGAAGTGGGGAAAAAAAATTCTCATCCTCTGACAGTCACGTGCAGCCACGCACAGCTCCTACACTACAGCCAACAGCACTTCCTGCTGGCCATGTGCTGGTCATTTAGGCAGCATAAAAAAAGAAGGGCATTCGGAATCTTTTCCTTTACTAGCGTTTGCCTCGGGGTCTCGGGAGTGGCGAGCACAACTCCACTCAAAATCTTCCTACGGAAATCAGAAACTCTTCTATCAGCACTTACCCACAGAAGAGTAAGATGACCTCCAGCTTATTACCAAAGTTAAAAACTCCACTGCTGACAAATACTTTTCTTACACTGACATACTCTCACCGCTTTCCCTACGCAGCAAAAACAAACATTCGTGTGTAAGCTCAGCCCGGCTCGGAGCTCAGCCCGGCTCGGAGCGGTACGCTGCGGCCCGGCAGCCTCCACGCTGGGTTTCGGGGGGCCCAGGCAAACCCGGGGTCTCCTCTTCGTCCTCCCGCTGCGGCCCCTCCACCAGCCGCTCCCGCCCCGCGGACGCTCTCCCCCGGTTCCCCCAGGAGGCCTCCCGGCGGTGCCGGGCGCGCTCCCCGCCCGCCGCGGCCTAGCGCGCAGCCCTCCCCGCATCCCGCCGCCCGGCCGTCCCGCCGCCGAGCCCTCCCCCTGCCCGCGCCCCGGCACTCACGGCCTGAACTCGGCCACGGGCACGGCGCTCACGGGCCCGGGCCCGAACCGCTCCATGGCGGCCCCGCCGCGGCCCCTGCGCCGCCTCAGCACCGGCGGCAGCCACCGCGCCTGCGCGGAGGGGCAGCGCCGCTGTCGCCATAGCAACCGCCGGCATGGCGCGGCCTAGCGGTGGGAGGTGGGAACTGCAGGGCGGGGGACCCGCCAGGAAGGGAAGAGATGGAGGGAGGAGAGGAGGGATGGAGGGATAAAAGGATCGAGGGATGCAGAATGAAGGGATGGAGGGATGGAAAGATGGACGGATGGAGGAATGAAGGGATGGAGGAATGAAGGGATGGAGGGACGGAGGGACAAAGGGGTGGAGGGATGGAGGGGTGGAGGGATGGAGGGGTGGAGGGATGGAGGGACAAAGGGATGCAGGGACAAAGGGATGCAAGGATGGAGGGAGGCAGGGATACAGCAATATAGGGGTGAAGAGACAGAGGGAAGGAGGGACAAAGGGATAGAGGCATGAAGGGATGGATGGATGGATGGAGGGATGAAGGGATTGAGAGATTGAGGGACAAAGGGATGAAGGGATGGAAGGATGGAGGCATGCAGGGACAGAGGGATGGAGAGATGGAGGGACTGAGGGAAGAGGGGATGGAGCAATGGAGGGCAGCCTGGGGTCTGGACCATGGCAGCAGCTTCTGCTGGGCTCGGGCAGAGTTGACTCTACAGAGAAAACCACCCTGTGCAGATTCTCTGCCAGCTCGAAACAGCAGCGCAATCAGTGCCACTGTATGGGTGCTTTCCTTGAGGGAGATGGAGAGTGGCTGTGCACAGCAAAATTGCCATCAGATGTCTTGGGTAAAGGTCAAGGCTTACCAGCAAATGGCAGTGGTCTTGGAGCCAAAAAACCCCATGGAACTGACACATTTTGATGAACTCACCAGTACAAAACACCATAAATGAAATAACACAGGGCTAAGGCATTTGCTAAAAGGAAACTGCAAATCGTCTCTATGTTGTCCTGTTAGGAGGGGGGTTTGTTCATTTAAAGGTTTCCTGCTCTCCTGGCACTAAATTGAAATTCCTTCTCCAGACAAAGAAAAAACTTCTGGTCAAAATCTGAGAGAAACAGGTAATAACTAACAGGTGCTGCAAATGAGAGACTAAGGACTCAGGCAGACTTCACTCTCCTCTAGCCTGGTGGGCAGTAAGCATTTCCAAGGTGATACTCTGTTCAAGCTATTAATTCATGTTCCTGTTGAAGCTACTCTGCTTATATACTCACCAAGGAACTGACGTGAACACAGCTTTTCAACAGAAGCCCAGAGTGTTACAGTTTCTGCTATGAAGTCGGTCTCAGTTTCAGGGGAACTAATTGGTAATACTCAATGAACAGCTTTAGCAGGAAACGAAGCCTTGCAAACTTCCAAACAAAAGCTCTGGAAGCATTTGAATTGACCTTGCCATTTAATTAAATCTCATATACCACAGCAATAACATATTTGCCCCTTTTATGGGAAAACCATGTTGCTATCTTCCCACTCAGCCATGCCAAATCTTAATTGTGTGAGTCACTAACTCCACACATGACTCCTTCCTCATGTTTTCCTGCAGTGTGCAGATATCCAGCATTCCTGCAGCCCAGCACGGTGGCCTCTACCCTGCTTCTTGCTGCAGTGCCACACAGCACAGTGGCCTCTTCTTTCCCTCCTGGGCCAGCAAGGCATCCTGCTGCCCTGCAAGAGAAGAAATACGAGAGGGTTGTTTTCCTTGCAATCAGTAAGAGCAGGAAACAAGCACTTTGTTCTTGGTGGTTCCTGCTGTGTGCTTCTCCCTCAGACCTTACTCAGAGTGAGTTTCTTCTGCCTGGGCTAGAGGCAAGGGACACTAAATTGCACTGGCAGCTGTAGCGTGTAAAGGTGGAAGGCAAGGAGCAACACTGTCTTCAGCACTCATTTTCTACCCTCTGATTCTGCATAGTGAGGCCTTTTATTATGTTTTCTCCAGTACATGTGAGAAAGAACTTGAATGTTGTTAGAAGCATTTTTTTTCCCAGCAATGAACGTAGCTTGGCTGGCGACTCTTTCCTGCTCGTTAAGATGCAGCACAGCTCAGGCAGTTCAGTGCTTACAGGGTCAGGTCTGGCTCTTGTGGTCACACTTTCACTGTAAACCAACCAATTTTGTGCTCTTTTAAAATAGAATAGTCCTCCTAATGTTTGATTCCACTGCCAGCTGAACCAGCAAGAGAGACAGTTTGCATGAGGGGGGCAGAAGAGGGCTGGTGTGGACAAGGGGGGTTTTTGTAGCCCCTACTCAGTTGGATGGGGATGCAAGGAGGGTTTGCTGTGCAACACTACTTTAAACCTTCCAACTAGTTCTTCAAAACATCTAATTAAAATCCAGCTAGCCACTCAAAAAATTCCACAAACCTGTGGGAGCAGGTTTTGTTTACTCAATCAATTGAGTTTATTTCTCAATGAATAAAAATAATGTATCAAAAAAATCAGTGAAGTTAAGTTATAGTTAAGATATAAATCGTATGATTAAAAAAGTATGAATGTGGATGCGGAGAACATTTCATCGCTAGATGATGTTCTTTCCCCTTCTGTTTTGACTTTCCTGTTTGTTTCTCCAGTAGGAAAAATAATGACATAAGTCAGTTTAATAAGAAAAGAACAAAACATAGAAATATAAAAGTGGAATAAGTTTCACATCGTATAAACTTACCATAAAGATGCACATAAAGGATTAGAAAGTAGTGAATCTCCTAAGGCTGAACAGTCCAAGTCATTAACTTTTAATATAAAATTACTTCATATCTTATCACACTAATGCTTTCATCTACTAGACTTATAATGACTTTGCTGAATGACTTCCTGTATGTTCAACTGCTTTTCTTTTGCGAGCACAGAAAGGAAATACAAAACTATTAGAAAAATTTTGCAACTGTGAGAGAAAAATAAGCTTTTCATTCGCGTTTTCGTGTTAGTCATTTAAAAGACTTGGAGCATACAAAGTTTTGCCTGTTTGCTTCAGGTTCGATACCTGAATTCTGAAATTTCAGGCAGACTACAGACCTGTCTTACCTTCTGGATTATAGAGCAAATACAAAACTTGCTCTTAAGCAGAAACTGTGCTGCAAGCACAAGAAGCTGTCAATTCCGAGACTAAATATCTGCTTTTCTAAGACATTGTCCTCAACAACATTTGCCAGGAGATGCTTGAAGAATATAAAAAATAAAGCCAGCCCCTGCTTTTTTGGTGGTCTATGTCTCAGCAAGGGTGCAAAGCAGGTGGGAAGGTGCCTGCTGAAGCAATACCATCTAGTGGCAGCTGGAGAAAGAGAATGCCCCCAACAGGACCAGTGCTGTAAAGGTGAAAACTGAAGAGATGGTATCTAAAAACAAAACCACCTGCTTGTGAATACTTCTTTTTTAAAGATTTGTTTCCATGGTAATATATCAGAAAGGAAGATGACCAGAAAAGGAGCAGAAGCAGGGAATTGACTGTAGTTACTGGAACCAATAACAAGCTCAGTTGCATGGCCTGGTCTAGCAGAAGTGCCAAGTGATCCAAGGGTCTGGTTTTTGAAATTACATTTCCCAGCAGCAAGCAAGTAGTATTGTGCAGCCTTAGCTTTGAAACTCTTATCCACTTGCTTACAGTTAGTAAGTGTTTGTACATGGTTAGAGCTTAGCCCCAGAGGAGATGGGGTAGAAGAGCAGGAAGATATCAGACAGGGGTTTATCTCAAGTCGTGGTTTGCTGTGCTAGGGGGAAGGATATATAATGTTTATGACTGGATATGCAGTGTAGTGGGACAATTCCTATATAAGAGACCTGGCATTTGTAGGGAGCAATAAAGTCTTTTATTACACCATCTGATAGAGCTTAGACAATTGTAGGGACTGTAAGTCTCTGTTGCTGAATTATGAGGACTTCTGTGCTAGAACACTGTGGGTTTTTTCTGTTGATCTAATTAGAGATGTTAGCTTTTCCTACCAACCCCTTCCTCTTTCAGTTTCTTCATGTTCTTGACTCCAGCATTACTGTAAATACTCTATTTATCTGTTCTGTCAACCTCTACACCCCAGAAAAAAAGAGGTAAGTTTAACGAAAGGTAAAATGAATGGATTGGCTGACTCTGTTTAAAACTCTTTGTGATAATCCAGGCTGAAAGCCCAACAAGCATAGAGCATGCTGCATAGTTGCCCACCCAGGTGCTGTGGAAATACAACCACAGTAACATCAATGCTTGGGTTAGCAAAGAAGTCATTTATCTAAGCATTATAGGGCTATATTACCTGTTACTGCACATTCCAGGATAAGTTAGAGCAAAGAGTTTAGACACCCCTCTTAGCTAATAGAGCTCAGAAGTCTCACAGCGTAATTTTCACCTCCTGCTATTACTGCTGTCATTCTGCAATGAAAACACTGGGCTACTGATGAAGTGGCTGCCTTCCACAGGCATTGTGAAATACCTGAGGCACCTACATTAACAGAGTGGGAAAGGCTTCATTCCCACAGCTGATAGAAGTCAACTAATATTTACCAATTTCAGGTGAGACTCTAGATACTGAAAGAAAGAGAAATCTTCTTTTTTTGTAGAGGCAAATGTAGTAAAAGTTTTACATGTTACATGCAATTAAACCAGAATGAGACATTCTATACCTCTGCCCAGACAAACAGTGCTGACCATAGAGCAGATGTCGTAGAATTCTTTTGCAGTTTTCGGGGGGACGGTACTTTTCCAAAAAGTAGCGTATATTAGCACAAAGCACAGAAAACATATCTCTTTCCCACTGCTATTTGGGCTACAGTTAGCTTTGGAAAGTGCAAAAGGTTTTCTGGAAGATGGAGAGTTATGGGATGATGTTTCTGATGGGCTCAGCCTTGACCAGTAGCAGGTTATCTCGGAGCTGGCTGGCATTGGCTTCGTTGGACATAAGGGAAGCTTCTGGTATCTTCTCAGCCTGTAGCCTTCTCCACAAAAACCTTGCCATGCAAACCCAATGCAGTACAGTATGATTTAAACCCTAGAAGACTTAAAAAGCCCATTAAACAATTTAAAAATTGCCATGACAACTAGCTTTGACATTAACAGG